AAGGGGGTGGTTTTGACAAACAGAAATGTATTACCTCACAGTTCAGGAGGCTAGACGTCTACATTCAGGGCACCGGCTCTGGAGAAATGTTCTTGTATCCTTTCAGCTTCTGTAAGCCCAGGATTCCTTAGAGATCTCCGTGTGTCTTAGCTTCAGTCTCTCCCTGGAATCGAAGAACTTCACGGTGTAGAGACCTCACGTCCAATGGACACACTCTAGATTCTTCTTTCTTGGTGGCAGTGGTGGCGGTATGCCATTAAGTTGATTCTGACTCATGTTGTTGTTGTTAAGTGCCGTCGAGTTGATTCTTGGATAGGTTTATGAGGCTGTAAATGTTTATGGGAGCAGAAAGCCTCATCTTTCTCCTGTGGAGTACCTGGTGGACTCGAACTGCTGACCTGGTAGTTAGCAGCCCAGTGTGTAAATGACTACGCTACCAGAGCTCCTCCTTGGTGGTAGCAGGTCCCTCTTTCTTTGCCCACTTTCCTCTCCTTTTATCTTTCTATGATGAGAGCTCTTGCAGACCACATCCACGAGGAAGCCTCCTTTTCAGGTGATTGGCTGCTTATAGCAGATCCCATCATGGAGGTGATGACATCGTACAAGATCTCATCATTGTGAGCCACTATATCTTAAGTGCCAAAGCACTGAGAATTATGGCCCAGTCAAGTTAACACAAAGCCATAACCATCAGAGTAAACAAGCCAAAGTCTTGTCACCCTAAGATGGATGTGTTGTTCTTCTGAGAGTCCACTGTATTCAACTGAAAGTCCCACCGATGGTGTTTCACATCATTGAAGGTTTGATTTCCTGGGAGCCGGAGGCTGAACTGCATCTGAACACAACTACCTGGCCTTAATGTGATCAATCCAGGGAAAGGGATTCACCAACTTTTACTGCAAAGGCATGAGGCAAAAAAGTGGACATATTTGTCAGCCAGCTCTATCAAGTGGTTCAAAGGAGACACTCCTCTCAGAAACAGGTTCACTGCATACCTTAATGAAACATCTCAGCGGCACTAGGTTTGTGCCATTGTTTTCTCAGCAGCCTTAGTTCGTTCGGCTTTGAAATGACAAAACTGCTGCCAAAGAAAACTCAGCTCTGTTTTTCACCTGCCAACTCTTTCGACTTCTCAATTCGCTCTGGGTCAGGGAGCTCCACTTTTCACCATGAACATGGGGAAATTACGTCCTAGAAGACTTTTCACACAAAGCTGGTTGGCATTCACTGGGTGGACCTTGTTGCCTTGCTTACATTTGACTTGCGTTACTCTCTTCTCTTGGGAATGTTCTCCTCCAGCACTGGAACTGTTCTTGGTGTGTGACTTTTCAGTTCCATCATGGCACCACGGGAGTTAGGGTCCTTTTAGGAAAAATGTCCTCTCATCTGAGATGACCCCGTCTGCACTGGGCACCAGCATAGGGTAGGGAGCTGAGTTCCCAGGCATCATGGAACTTCCTCATTCATCTCTTTGTCCTAGGCTTCTTTGGCTTTGTGGTCAGATATCTGTCACTCACTCTGGGGCTACTTGGTTCTAATTTTTAAATATATATATACTTTATTGTGTTTTTGGTGAAGATTTATACGTCAGTTTAGGTTTTCATTCAAACACTTCGATGCAAATTGTTCAGTGACACTGGTTACATTCTTCACAGTATGTGAAAATTCTCATAATTTCCATTCTGGTTGCTCTGTTTCATTTAATCTAGTTTCCCTGTCCCCTTACTTTCTCATCTTTGTTTTAAAGTAATTATTGACTATCTGGTCTAATATAGGGTTTAAAAGAAAAAAAAAGTACTCACAGGTGATATTTTTTATTTTGTGAACCGATTTGTTACTTAGCTAGAAGGTGACCTCAGGGGCTAGCTTTGGTTCAAAGTTTAAACAGTACTATAGGGCAATGTGCCAGACTGCAAAGCTGTTTGAACTGCAAGGTTGGTGGTTCAAACTCACCAGCTACTCCTCGGAAACCTCATACAGGGTCGCTATGGGTCGGAACTGACTTGACAGCAGTTCACAACAACAACATAGGGCAATAATCTCAGGGACTCCTCCAGTCTCAACTGTCCCAACAGGATTCTTTTAAGACTCTGAAGCTTTGTCTTGTACTCTTCTCTCCATCGTAAGGACTCTCCATTGTGACCCTGAACAATCAGTAGTGGGAGCTGGGCACTGTCTAGTTCTTCTGGTCTCAGGCTAGAGGCGGCCCGTGCTTCATAGAGACTATTTGTCCTGTAGACTTGTTTCTTCTTTGAGTCTTTGATTTTCCTTTCTCTTCTCCTCTGGGTTAGTAGAGACCACCAGGTGTATCGTTCACTTCGTCTTCACCAGTGTCCCCCCTCTCCTCCCTAGCCCCGCCCCTCTGTCCAGCCTTCTGTCTACTTTTTCTCTACTTCCTCTTTTGTGTGTAGGTTCTCTGGCAGAACTTGGACTTTTGCTTGAAAGGTCTTATTATGATCAGACCCTTCCCTTCTGGCTGGAGCTCTCACCATGCTGACTTTTTGTGAGAAATCGGCTTTTTAAACAACTATTTTATTGTATTTTTGGTGAAAATATATACATTAAAACACACTTCCATCCAGCACTTTGTACACAGCCTGCTCGGTACCACTGGGGACATTTTTCAGTTTATATCAACCTTCTCATTACTTACGTTCCACTCCAGTTCACATCGTCTCATCTATGCTTCACAGTAACTTGCCCATTTGGCTTCATATGGATCATTTTCAAAGAATGCAAAGCTGACATTCTTTTTCAGTTAAAGTGCTATTTAGTTTAAAAGTGATTTCAGGGGATGGTTGTGCTTCAGAGCTTAAAGGGTATTTTAGGGCATTAGTCTCAGAGATTCTTCCAGTCTCCATGGGTCCAGTGAGTTTGGATCTTTACGACTGTGAAGTTCTGTTCCACATTTCCCCCCCTTTCAGTTAGGCTCCATCTAGCGTGTCCCTGATCAAGAAACTCTGCAAGGGTAGCTGGGCACCATCTAGTTCTTCTGGTCTCAAAGTGGAGGAGGCAGTAGTTTACGGAGACAATTAGTCCTGTAGATGGTTCCTTCTCTGATTCTTGGGCTTCCTTGTTTCTCTTTTGCTCCAGACAACTACAGGCACATATCTGTGTCTCAGATCACAGAAGCCTCCATTTCAGGGCCTGGGTTCCCTATTCCCACTTCTCTGCCTGTGAGCTCAGGCGTTAGGGGTAGGGAGGTTCAAAGTCATAAGGAAACAAACTAGCAGCACTCCAGGAGTAAAGAAATCAATGTGCTCCCTGTCTGCACAGACGTGACTCTGTTCCCAGGGACCTGAATAGTCCACAGAGAATGCCATCTCTCCTGCCGCAGGGGTGCCTCTTGTCCCTACAGCCAAGCTCAGGGTCACGGTATCCACAGAAAGTGGGAGACTCCTCAAATGCACAATTTCTTCAGAAAATCAGGTGGGGATCAAGAAGAAAGTCATCTCTTCTTCCTTGGACAGTGACAAGGAAAGGCATTTTACTTATTCTTAGAGCAGGGTCAGGCTGTGCCTCTATGTGGTTCCTGTGAAGAAACAGCCCGAGCTAGAAGGCTACAGTCAGCCCTCTATTATTTGAATGCAAGGAAGCTAAAAAGTAGAAAAGGTCAAAGGAAGAAAAAAAAGAAAGTCCCTAATAGAACTTTCTGCTAAGACTCTGTGCCCCCTAGGTTTATAACCAGACCACAGGGATCACACAAGAGCCCCCAGAAGTGGCCCCCTGGCCTGGCTAACGAGAAGGTGGAGATTCCAGGTACAAACAGCCCTGTCTGAAATGATGACTCAGGAGGAAGCCAACTGACCTGATTCATTTCAGGGTTTCTTCAGTTTGTGCTAAAAATATCTTGGATAAAGAAAACCGAGTGGCTCACCACCAGCTGCTTTGTTCTTGGAGTGGAGGACATGCGGACAGTTGATAGGATCACTGCTCCAAGAATAAAGCCACGTGCTTCCCAGCCAGGCACCTCTGCTGCCTGGGAGTGTCCCTGTCAGAGGACACAGATCTGGGCCAAAACCACACAGCGGATGATTCTGGAACCGACTGTGGGACGGAGCAGCTCTCCTTGCAGCCTGGGGATCAAGGGCTCTGCTGGTGACTAGCCAATCCTGTCAGAGGTGGTGACTGAGCCAACAGGAATGAGACCACCCGTGACTTAGAAACGGCATGCAAGGTACAGCAGTCTCCCCTGGTGCACAGCCAAGTGGCAGGTGGTTGAGTGAGGAGAGTACATCTCAGCAGATCTCAGTTTACCTCTAGAGATGTAAACACTGAGAAAGGCAGACACTGGCTGCCAGCGACCAGCCATCTGACTGCCATCACGGAGTAGCAACTGAGGAGGGACACACACTCCAGGACCCGACTGCTGGGGTTTGAATCCTTGCTGTTGTTGTGTCCTTGGGAAAGTTACTCAGTCCCTCTGCGCCATCTCTGGGGACAACAGTAGCTAGCTCCCAGGGTTCTTGTAAGGATTAAATGCATTGGTAGGATCTGTAAAGCACTGAGGATAGTACCTGGCACTGTGTTTGTTAAGTGCATGAAAATGACGAGCATCACATAGAAAGAGTCAAAAGAAACGTAGCAATGTTAGAAGTGGTGGCAGACATATTTGTGTCCATTTCCAGCAAGGGTGACAGTCAGGGCCTGCCCATAAGTGGGCTGAGATTCAGGTCATGCTCCCTGGCAGCTGTCAGAAGGCTGGGGACAGACATGAAGCCCAAGTCCCTCCAAGTCTTCTGGACAAGGGAGTACAGCTCTGAACCCCAAACAGACCAGACCCGCCCTCTCCTCCACATCATTTTGGGGTGTACACTGCAGCCGCTCACACTACTGGGTGGTCCCCCCTCCCTGGCTCTCCAAAGGCAGCAGAAAGTCTGGTGGCCAAGATCCCAGACCCAGGAGTGAGGGCAAGACTGGCGTCTTCATCCCACAGAGGCCAAAGGGAAAGGATGGGTGGGACATCTCCAGGCTGGGGAAGGACACCTCTGCCTACTTACCACTTTGGGCTTGAATGGTGGCTGGATCTCTCGGTTCTCCAGTTTCTCCCAGTCGATCCTCCGGAAGAAGGCGTGCTCTCTCACATCCCTCTCCCCCTCAAGGCCACAGCCCAGCCTCTTGGCGGGGTGTTTGGTCATCAGCTAGACAATGAGAGGGGAAACCAGAAGGCTGGGTATAATGACTTTCCAGAGGATAAGGCCCTCCCTGGCCGGTTGGGCCACCGCACCACCGTGTGTGGGCCTTGGGGAGACATCCAATTGGTTTGTGGTTTTTTAAGTTGAAGCCATACCACAGCTGTGACGCTGACAAGTTCGGAACTTCCTATGGGATTTTCCTGATAAGGCAACAGGGCCGCAATCTGGACCCATGGCCAAAGATGAAAGAATTTACACAGGCACTTTTGTGCACCTGTGTCTGACAGCTGCCAGTTCTGGTCAAAAGACAAGCTCAAAAAACCATATGCTTTGAAAGTGTCATTGTCCATAAAGATGCTGACCAGCTTCTGGTGTTTCTTTACTGCCTGGACCAAAATATTATCAATAAATGTTCATGGATTAGAAAAATAAAGACAAGAAAGTTGTTGGTGTTCAGTACCGTGGTGTCGGTTTCGACTCATAGTGACCCTGCACAGGATTTCCGAGGCTGTAAATATTTACAGGAGCAGAAAGTCTCATCTTTCTTCCGCGGAACAACTGGTAGTTTCGAACTGCTGACCTTGAAGTTAGCAGCCCAATTCGTAACCACTACGCACCCAGAGGGGACTAGTTAATTTCAATATTCCTAGACTCCTAGTGTGGCGCTGTAGGCTCAGCACTGGACAGCAAACCACAAGGTCAACAGTTCAAACCCACCAGCTGCTCCTTGGAAACCCTATACAGGGTTGCTGTGAGTTGGAGCTGACTCAACAGCACTTAACAACAACAACTATAGGATCACTGACACACACCATTAGCTAAACTCTTGGTTGCTAACCAAAAAGTTGGTGGGTCAAACCCATTCAATGGTTCTGTGGCAGAAACCAGGCAATCTGCTCCCATAGAGGTCACAGCTGAAAAAGTCCTACTAGGCGGTTCTATTGTCACATGGGGTCGCTATGAGTCAAAATTCACTCAACGACACCCAATAATAACTCTAGAACTGGAGCCTCTGGGTGGTGCGAACAGTTAAGCACTTGGCTACTGACCAAAAGGTTAGTGTCTTGGATCCACCTACAGGTCCCTTGGAAGAAAGGCCTGGCGAGCCACTTCCCCAAAAATCAGCCACTGAGAACCGCATGGAGCAGTTCTACGCTGACACACACAGTGCTCCCATGAGTCAGAGTAGACTCAGTGGTAGCTGGCTTTCTCCAGGTCTACCGGGAGTCCTGGGACTTGAATCCACGTCCCTACATCTTTGCTTCTCTCTCTTCGGCCCTCCTGTCACCAACACACGCTAATCCTCAGTGGGTGAAGAGCCGTGGGTGACAGGGACTTGTGGCATTCCTGTCATCTTCCTTCAAAGTGTGAGGAAGGGATTTTCACCCCGTTCCACCAGGTCAGCGGTTCAAACTTACCAACCACTCCTTGGAAACGTGATACGGGGTCAGTATGAGTCAGAACCGACTCGACGGCACTTAACCACCACCGTCACATCCCCCTGGTCCATAATCAGAGCAGAAATGCAAGTGTACTCACTCCTTTGCAGATAGACACTGCCTCTTTGGACAAGGATTTTGGATAGGAAACGTTATGCTCCATTATTGACTGGAAGAGTTCATCTTCATCTTCACCATCAAAGGGAGGCTGTTCCGGAGAAGAGCAAGATGGGAAGAGATTTAAGTAGAGACATTCACAAACAGGCCCCTGAAATTTAGCACTGAGAAACAGACCTATCTGTGCACTTGTGGGTTTATTTGATTATCTTTAATTAGCTTGGAGGTTGTGTATGTTTCGTTTTGTTCCCTCAGTCCCTTTAATTATCTTGCCCTGGGCAGCCCAAATAATCTTCAGAGGAAATGCTTTTGAGTAATGCTTTTAATGATTTACAAATGAATTACTCCATTAATCTTACAATTATGTGCTAAAAATCTAATTAAGATCCAGTTCAGTTACCAATGGCTTTGTGTTCAGAAGGTGCACTGAGGTGGGGACTGCTAATGATCTTTGAATTTTGATCAAGGAGTGAAGCGGACACTCCCGTCCCAGGAATCCAGCTCTGGGCCTTTCCGACTGAACAAGGAACTGCTGTTGCTAGAGAGAGGGTAGGGTGGTGCCTAGTGGTGGCAGGTGATGGGCATTTAGCTTCCACTGGACACTTGTCTTGAGTTTACAATTCTAGGATGTGTGTGGGCACTGAGGGGGTGGGGTGGGGTGATGGCTGGAAGGTCTGGGGTACACCTACCACCTCTTTGCTCCATAGCTACAGGCAAGTGATTTCCCCTGTAAAAGGCAGTTCTTTCATTGTAAAGGTGGGGGTTCTGGCTGTTTTGCACTATTTCCAGTAGGTGCCCCATGGTGGGCATGTAATGGTACTATTAGAGCTCTTACCGGGGGAGGCATTGGCTGGGGGGCACTGCAGGAGTCCCCTAGGGGGAAAGGCTGGGCTCTGGATGCCAACTTTGAGCTTCTTCTACCTACACATCTTAAATCCTCAGGGATCTGTTGGATTACCTGTTATTCTAGCCAGTACTAGGAGGGTTTATGGGATATCTTTATGATGCTTGCCTTTGGCTGATCTCACCTGGTAGCACAGTGGCTAAGTACTCGGCTGCTAACTGAAAAGTTGCCAGTTTGAACCTAGCAGCTGCTCCAAGGGAACCAGAGGTGGCAGTCAGCTTTCATCAACATGACAGCCTTGGAAACCCCAGGGGACAGTTCTACTCTGTCCCAGATGATTGCTGTGGGTCAGAATTGACTCCATGGCAGTGAGTTAGTGGGGAAGCTTGGACTTAGGGTGAAGAAGGGGAACCAGGGATCAGCCTGGGTATAGAATCCTCCATGTTTAGTTTCCCTTAGGTCCTCCATCTCGTGGAAATGGTAAGCCACAGACTTACGAGGTTAGGGTTTAGAAAGTGTCACTGTTTGGCTTAAACTTAAGATACATCATGGGTCAAAGAAAACGGTGCTGCGTCAATAGGCTACCAGCTCTCAGCAAACTTTCCCCTAAATGAGAAAGGGCAGTTGACCCAAGTAGATTCCATTCCCATCCATCACTCCCAAATCATGCCAACCTGTTCATCTGATATCCCGAGACCCAGCTCTATTCCTCCAGCCCTGAGGGGAGTCTCCCTGGTACCACATCCACCTGAGGGAAGATGCCATCTAGAAAGAACACTACCTTGGGACCAGGGAGGTATAGGAGAGGGTGACTGGAGCCACTAAAAACACTGGTTTTGCCTAGAAATAGAAATCAACAGGTTTCTTCCCTGGCTGTGGGTGCCTGGTATAAAATCCTTGTTGTTAGGTGCCCTGTGTAGGGTTTCCGAGGCAACTGAAATCTTTGCAGGAGCAGAAAGCCTCTTCTTTCTCCTGTAAAGCAGCTAGTGGGCTCAAACCGCTGATTTTGTGGATTTTAGGTTGGTGTTTCTCCTACAGAGCCCTTAGTGTGGTGGGAGCGCAGGTGAGTGAAGAGAGCTGCGCTTGGGCTGTGAACTGATCCACATGAGCAGAAACATAGCACACTGGGATGCCCATGATGCAGGCTGGCTGAGAGCCAACACCCTCTGGGACGTGCAGAAATGGCCCCATCTCTGTAGGAAGGGGCAGGCCTTATTTCCACCTCCAGAGGGCAGAGCAGGACACGAGGGGTGGGATGGGGGTGAGGGTGCACCACCCTGCTGCTGTTCCTGGCACATCTCTGCTCCACATCCTATGACCTACTGCTTCTGGACACCTGTTACACTGGCATCCAATAGGCATCTCCTTTCCCCTAATAAGTGATCCATACATCCGCTGTGTTGTCATAACAAAAACAAATGTGGGTGTGATTTCTGTTGAGAGCCAGGAGTGCCCTCCACTCTGGATTCGCTTTGTGGGCACACTCTATGGTGTGGATGGGGCCCTGGAGGGAAGCAGGGCAGAGGAGTGGGCCTCTTTGTCAGGACCGGCTTTGTGATTTGCAGGTCCCAGTGAGAAATGAAAATGCATGGTTCCTTGTCCCAATCTGACTAGTAATTTCAAGATGGTAGGAACAGAGCAGTGAGCAGGGAACCAGCCAGACTGGGGGTGTAGGTGGGGGGACTCTGTTAAACAGTCACAATGGCACAGAGAGGCTAACCCACCCCTGGTGACACTCAAGTATGAGCAGCAGGAATGGTCATCATATCCCAAGACAAAGGCCTCAGAGAAACTTCCTCCCAAGAGAAATTCAGGTGAATGTTCTCCTGGAATCTTCTCATCTGCAGATGTCTGGTTGGCGCAGCTGCAGCCTGGCCTGACTCTCACACAGAAAACAAGGGGATGTTTAGGGGATGTCCCATGAAGGGCGTGGGTCTACGCCGTCATCTCATGTTAAGGGGATGTTTAGGGGATGTCCTATGAAGGGCGTGGGCCTACGCCGTCATCTCATGTTAGACCATCTCATGGCACTGGAATCAGCTTTGTATAGACGAGTTGCCCCCATATATGCTTATTTCTGAAATGAAAACTTTCGCGTCAGCAATTGTTCCTGTTGCTAAGTGCTGTCGAGTCAGTTCTGACTCATACCAACACTGTACAGGGTTTCCAAGGAGTGGCTGGTGGGTTTGAACTTCCATTAGCATTCCAATGCTTAACCTACAGTGGTCAGATCCTGTTTACTGTGGGTCAAAGGAGGGCTTTTACCACAAAGCCTCCCAGGGTCCCTTCTGAAGGCAGGACACCTGGATCTGGACACACCTCGCAGAGTATTCCTGGGCATGTTAATTCTACATTCCTGGGTCAGAAAGTTCTGCCTCAGCCCCCTCTGGATATGTGTGTTAACAGAGATGAAGACAGCACACACTCTAAAGGCTCTGAATGCTGCATAAAGTAAGCTGTTCAAACTAATGTGAATCATTACACTTGGGGGTTGGAAGAATCTATTGTTGTAATAAGATTCCCACGTTATCACAAAACCCAGAAGACCAGCCGCCTTCAAGGCACAGCCTCAAGATTTCATTCTGTGTGTCATCTTTGAATTGGGGACGAGAGTCCGGCTGTTACCACCTGACAGGAGCAGACGTGCCCCTAGCCCCTCAAGCCTTGTGAACCTCTATTGCCGGATAAAAGAGAAAAATGGACATTTGGGGGAGGACATCAGTAACAGTGGCCGGGGCAGGAGCAGTAATGTTTATTTCTAGGGTTTGTTCTATGGGTCAGGGACTATATTGGGGACTTTGCAGGCAGCTCTCCTTCAATCCTCAAAGCCATCCACTGACATAGGCATCACTAACTCCATTTGACAGCTGAGATCCTTGAGGTTCTGCTCAGGGCTTTGACTGTAGCTATGGAGTTGGGGTGTAGGAGAGCCAGGAGTCCCACCCAGGCATTCTGACTTTGGAGGCTGGCCTCTAAACCATGATGAGAAAGGCTGTGAAGGAGGGCAGGAAGACCCCCTGGGGGGATGCTCCTGCAGTGATGTGTGGGTGGTACTCAGCTGTGTGTGTGTGTGTGTGTGTGTGTGTGTGCAGGACTGTTTGGGTGAACGTTAGAAGGCTGATTCACACACTGTACAATATGAGTTCTGAAAATAGAAGGGGCAGTCCCATTGGCCTGAGATGTTCTCATTTATTATGCAGAGAGAGTGCGTTGTCTCTAGATTGGAAAGGGGTACCATTTCTCAGCCTAACTGGGATTAAAGGTGAGCAGCTTGGTCTCCAGCACAACTTCACGGCTACTGCCCCTGCAACTGTCTGGTCAAATAAGATGACATCTGAAAGGCAAAGGAGGACTATGCTTTGGCCAAAGGCAGAGGAGGAGTTAAGCATCTTGTCCCAGTTTGGGGATGTCATCAAATTACATAGGTCTGTTTCCTTTTTTTGTCTTCTCTGTTGCAAAGATGCAGATGAATGGCATCATCACTATACCTTCCTACAGCAACAAACCACCTAGAACAGCTCCAAGCTTAAGATAACAAACCACCTAGAACTCCAAGCTTAAGAAATATACCATCTAGAACATAAGAAACAAACCACCTAGAACTGCTCCAATCTTAAGGCAAAACACCATCTAGAACAGTTCTAAGCTTAAGAGATCCCATTTTTTTTTCTTGCTGATGTTCCATGTCATGCTCTACTCCTTGTAATCATTCAGGGACTTGTCCCAATGGAGTAGCCGCCATCATCTTGGTCTGGCTGAGCCCTGGGGTGTCCAGCCCCAGCACTTGGCGTTTCTCCCTTGAACGTCTCCACTCAGGTTTCATTGACCAGAATTAGTCACATGGCCCACCCAGCCATAAGCAGGCCAGGAAGTGTAATCCACCATGTGCCAAGAGAGAGGAGAAGCAAAAATACTTGATAAAAGCTTGGAGCACTACTACAAATGAATATGATTAGTTATTTAAATTTGATGATTTAAATCAAAATGATTGGGAAGAAGAAGCCCACAAAAGTAGCTTCCAAGTAGTGCAGTGGTTAAAGCACTCGGCTGCTAACTGAAAGGTCCTTGGTTTGAACCTACCAGTCACTCCACGAGAGAAGATAAGGCTGTCAGCTTCTGTTAAGGTTTCAGTCTTGGGAACCCTACAGGAGCAGATCCACCCTGTCATATAGGATTGCTATGGTTGGAATTGATTTGATGTCGGTGGTTTTAGGGGGTAAACACAAACGTTACTCTTGGGGTCCTCA